AATCCAGGTTGACAACGGCGGCAGGATCCGGCATAGGATCGGTGGAGAAAGGAGTAACGGTAAGAGAACTAGTAACATCGGAAGGGTCCGACTTAGGCTCGGTGGAGAAAATAGCAACGGTAAGCGCACTGGTGGGAATAATAGGATCAGAAGTTGGTATAGGACCTAAAGGAGCAAAAGAACTTAATAGCTTCTATCGAAAGCGGCGTTGCGCAAGTTCACTCCTACGAAACTGAGCCTTGGAAGTTGAACCACTGAGGAGAGTTTTAGCAGTAGTAATGAAGGAGTCCGACTAAAGTGAAGTTAGTTCAATTGTAGCTCTGGATGTTGTAGGAGGAACCTCTGGATAAGATAATATAGTGTCTACTGCGGAAAACATCGTAGCGTCGGAAGTTACCGAACAATCATAAAGATATTCGCCAGATAAGGAAAGGTCAAGTGGTGGAAGGCCAAGTACAGGGTCTACAACCCCCTTGCCCTAACCAGGAGAAGAGCGTGGAGTGTGCATTTTCTTAAGGGGGGTCCTTGGAAAACACCACCAAATGGATGAGGAGTCTGAAGGTCTCACCTTATGCTTGGGAGTTTCGGTAGAAGTAACAGTGGAAGCTCCTTTCAACGAGGGGTACGGAGGAACCGGTGGAGGTTTTCAATGAAGATTATCAGAAGACAATGATGTGATACTAGTAGATTTTACCGGATTATCAGGGATAGTTGAATCCCAGCTTGCCTCGGACTCGCCCCCAACATCTACATCAGAAGGAGGGTCGGACTTAGTGGCGGATGAGCTACCCCTTTTTACGATCTTGGTCCAGTGTTTTCGTTGAAGGCGCACCAACATAGAAATATTATCGCCCCTTAAAATGGGGACTGTGGTTGTAGCAGGAGACCCAAAAGTACTACCTAGGTTAGCCAAGCCTAGAATTTATTCCTCAGGGTCGGACCAAACAAGGTAATTGGCTATGAGCCTCTTGACGAAGGCATGCTCGGCATTAGTTACTTCAGGAATAGAGTTTAGATCCCGATTCGCCAAATTCCCAAACTGCGCACGCCCAGCTATGGTTGAAGCATCAACAAAGAATAAATATTCTTTCCACTTTTTGATGGAAGAAGGAATATCGTCGCATATGTCAATCCCTCCACGACAAAGGGAGAAAGAGACCCAATCCTTGGTAATCATGGGCACATAGCGATATCAAAATATGGAAAGAGAAGGAGGAATATCTAAGGCTTTGCATAGCAAGATGAAGCACATTGTAACACCCCGTTTATTAAATAAATAAATAAACAAATTAATGAATAAATGGTAGCCCTAAAATAAATAATTATATAGCAAGGTGTTGGTCTCGAGGAGTTAAATGTCACAGTTTTAGAAGTCGGGGGTTAAAAGTGTAAGTTTCGGGATTTATTTTGTAAAGATTTTTAGAAGAGAGGGGGTGTTTGGTATCATTTGGACCTAATATGAAAGGATTTATGGAAGCAAGGGCTAAAGAGTAAAATTCTGGACCTAAGTTGAAAAGGTTTTGTTGAGGGAGGGACTGCATGGTAATTATTAGGACTTAAGTTGAAGGGTTTTTGGATGGATGGGGTTAAAAAGGTAAATTTCAGACTTGATTTGTAAAGGATTTTAGGAGGCACGGTTTAAATGGTAAATATTGGATTAAATTTGAAAGACATGGGGAAGGAGGGACCATTTTGGTTATTATGGAATTAAGTTTATGGTGGATCGGGGTATATAACCCGTCACCCCCTGGTCCGAAACCCTAACCCTAAAGAAAGCGTCAGCCGCCACCCCCCCTACCCTTATGCCTCCTCCCCGGCGCCGCTGCTATGTTGTTTCCGATCTGCATCTGACGACAACACCACCGTACGTCCACCATTCTCTTCCTTCTCCTTCTTCGGTCGCTGCCACGAGAGGTCTCATCCACCACCGCTACTTTGCAATCGGAGCGCAGCCACCACAGTCGATGCGCCATTGTCGCGACAGCCCATTTCTGTTGATGACAAGTTGCCGCCGTTCGTTGAACGCCACCAGGTGGTGGCTGTTTTTAGATCTCGAGCAAAGCATATGTGGGATCGTTACCCTAATATGTCGCCATGCTACCCTATTCTGCCGCCACTAGCCACCGTGAAAGGTGGTTGTGTGCGTGTTGTGGTGTTTGTGTTCGTGTGTTGTGATGGTATTGTTGGATTAGATGTCTAAGCCCATAACTATTATTGATATGTACTCGACCCGAGAGTAGCATGATCCATTTGGGTTGCATATCATCAGGACAATTTGTTAGGATGGATTCTTGAGAGAAGGTTATATATGATTTGTTAATATATTATAAGTTATAATATATTTTAATATGAAATCATATGTTCAATTAGTATTGATCAAGAATTAATTTGGAATTAATTTAGTGATCAACGGAGACTAATTGAATCTATGGGGACTAATTATGGTAATTATTTATATTTATATGTGTTGGGCTTATGATCCATGTTGGACCAAGTTTATGTATGGATACATAAAGAGTTGGGCCACATGAACCATGGATCATAACACCCATGGGTATGGATTTGGGTTATACCCATGACCCTTGGAATCCTACATATAAATATGTCCATTCATAGCCAAAAACGCCTAGACTTGTACTTGAAGTTCATGGAGGTGTTTTTGGGTGCATGGAATTCTCTCTCAAGTTCCACCTTTGTTCATGATGTGTTGTGACTTCATTTGAGGCTTCCACGCTATTGGGGCTAAGCTCTTAAGGCCAAATACATCAAGACTTCAAGCTACATAAAATGTATGTTACCCTAACTAGTATCTTGTATGGTATATGTCAATTGCATGCTAGTTATAGGCTTAATACCTTGGAAACATCATTGCATGTATAATTAGTGAAAACATAGATCCAAGGTATTTAGGGTTGTATGTGCACCATAGGATGTTGTAGTATACTAAGACCAACAGTGGTATCAGAGCCATGGGTTGTTTTCAAATTATACTTGATGCTGCTTGCTAAAAAAAAGCTAAAAAAATCGAATTTTTTGCTGTCTGGACAGGGGACTCGACGACTCCATGTGTAAACTCATCCAACTCATCGAGTTGGTTCTTGCACTCGGCGAGTTGGAGCCCCTGACAGCATATATTCGAGTTTTTTGGCCTGTTTTGGATTAGAATCATTACCACAAAATTTTTTGTTCATAAAATTTGATTTTGATGTTATGGTAATGTTTATTCTCATCCAAATAAAGGATAATTGTCAAAGTTTCAAGACTTGTTTTAGTTTATGTGATTAGCTAAGTTCTTGAAAATTGTTGATGTGAATTATCTTTGCTTATGAGTTTAATCTTGTTCATAGAAAAATCACATGATTATTGTGTTAATTGGTAATTTGATCTTAATGTTTTTGTGAACTCCATAACTTGTCCTCAAGTTATGGAAAACACTACTAGAAAAACAGCCTTTTACGACGCGCAATGCGTGTCGTAAAAGGCTCAGACGACGCGCAAATGCGTGTCAAGGAAGGCCCTGTCATAACGAGAGACGGCACGCTTTTGCGCGTCGTCTATTTACGACGCGCATTTACGACGCGCAATTACGACACGCATTTACGACGCGCGTTTACGACACGCATTGCGTATCAAGGAAGGCTCTGTCATAAAGGAAGATGACACGCATTTGCGTGTCGTAATCTTAAGACGCGCATTTACGACTCGCATTGCGTATCATTAAAGCCCATGTCAAGAAAGGTCATGTCATAAATAAAGATGACACACATTTTTGCGTATCATAATTTTAAATATTTAAAAAAATATTATTTATAGATTTACTAATTTTCAAATTAAATTTGTATTTAATATATCATAATAGAAAATAAAATATCATATACAAAAAATACAATCCATTGCATAAAATTTAATGTCATACAAATAATCATTCCATGGAAAGATAAAACAAATCAATAGAAGTTGTAACAAAAATTTACAAACTAATTAGATACAAGAAATATAAAAACAAATATACCCTCAAATGCTTTTCAAAGTCTAATCTCCATGTCAAACAAATCAATAGAAGTTGAAACTGGACCAGAGTCCATGTTGATGTCCCATAACTGCACAACACAAACCAACACCCATATAACTTGATTTTATATGTTATAGAAAAATAAATGTTGGATGAGTTGGTTTTTAAATGGACATGATAGAAAGTATATAATACAACAGAAGAGGAACAAATCAGAAACCTTAAGGGTCATGTAATCAAAAAGCAAGGTATACCTAGTTGATTATTATATATTTTTGCAACATGTGCCTAGATTCACCAAATAGCATCCACAATAAAAAAAAAGATTAAAAAATAATAAATAAATATCAGAAATTAAGTAATTAAAGTTAAACTAAACCTGGTAGTAAATTTTCTGCCCAGAATAAAATCAAGAGAGCAAAGGTGGTGAAAAACGCAAGGCTTGGGACATCAAGCAAGATATGTTGACCAATATGATAAATACAAGATGAAAAGTTAACTGACATGATTATGAATGATTACGATATGAATTAATATAAGTGAAAAGTTATGTTTATTTGAGTATAACATGGTTCCATCAATATTATATGCCATTGTCGTGCACCAATGACCGAGGGCATCCCAATCTAGTTTTGTCCTCAAAGAATCAGAGATCCATGCTTTGATTTTCAATCAATTGTTGTTGAAAAAACAAACTACAAAACAAAAAATGAATGGAGTCAATGGCATGGGTGATCACTTGTTGAATATACCATACTTCACATAATGCTTTGGGTCTAAAATATGCAATGTTCAAAATATTAAAGGAACAAAAGAAGACTTGCTAGCATTTATTCCTCTTGACCCTTAAGCACATACTGCATCTGCACTTCTTTTTTAGGTTCTGTTAGTGGTTTCTATTCATGTACATTTATTTTCATGTTAACAGTCAATTTGATCAACGAGGATAAAATGGTAATTTCATATAATACCATTCAAACCTCTTTGTTTACTTCTTCTCATTCAATGTGAAAAATCTAATCTTTTGTTCTTTATTTGGTAATAACACTTGTTGTTTCGCCGAATCTTTTTGATCCTTTGGATTGAAGGAAAGGATTTCCTGGTTATTTGGCTTAGAAGATATCGAGAGCTTCACAAGAAACCACGACGACATAGACACAACAATAATGGCCCCACCAACACCAAGATTCAACTTATACATGAACAACAACGACAGAGGGATATGAATCCCAAATTGAAAAATCGAAAGCGATGCAATCACCTATTAAATTAAAGTTTATGCGATACAACAAATTTATAAGAAATTAAAGAATAAAGGTTTATTATATAAAATAAATATGATATTCATATTATAAATTATACCTATAATTAAAGAAATATTCTTCCAAGAACAAAAACTCCAACTGCAGTATAACTACATGACATACAAAGAGTATAGTAATTGGATTGAAGATGCAATTAATATAAAAACAAGAAAAAAGAGAAAGGGGGTCTCAACATACACATTCCCAAAGCTGTTCTTTGCATAGGCTCCACCCTCATGGCCAGCATACATAAAAAGAGATCCAGAGTGTTTGAGTGAAACCTAATAACACCATGGAAGTCAATCAGAAGATACCAATGAGCATTATCAGCCATAAAAGTATGATAAAGGAACATCAGAGATAACAGGGACAACATACCTCCACTGTAGCTAGGCCTTTTGAGACCATTTCAATCATCCTTATCCTAACCTGGAATCAAAGAAATACAAAGAGGTAATGTTTATAGAACCCCAAACATCATAACAACAATGAAAGGAACAAGGGAATTTCTTTACCTCTTGATCAGACTTCTCATTTTCAAATTTGGGATAGAATGTTGCTCTGATTTTGGCAGTGGAGTAAGTCGAGTTATCTACATTAAAATTCTCCAACAAATCTTTTTTGAACAAACGGCTCAAAGCAGCAGTTTGAGCTGCAGTTTCCTTTCTGGTAGTTTCTTTTGCAGCATCACCAGAAACTGTCCCATAAGACTTTGGTTGGTAGACGTATTTTTTACCATGTAAAGAGTTGGCATTTATTACTGGAGAACATCCAACTGAAACATGGGACGACTGTCCATTGCTTTGACCATGAGGAGGTGCTACTGCTACATCATTCACGGTGATATTCCCAAACTGTGGCACATGAACAGAGGATCATGCACTGTTTTCAGCAATAGCAAGCCTATTAACCCCATTTGTGATAACCTCAGTAGAAGCTGCAGACTTAACTTCTGCAGCATCAAACGTTTCATCCGTTTTGCTACTGCTTGGTTTCTGAATCCACCTCTGGTTTAGTCGACCACCTCTTTTCTGGACAAAAACAATACGAAACATACTTCTCATATATGATTAATCGATTAAAGCCCAATAATTTTTCTCATAAGCCCTTGCCCACCCTCAAATATAAAAATAAAACCAATTACTAACGAAAAGTTAAGTAAACAGAGGTGTTATTGATGAAATACTTGGTTACGTGGCAAGAAATCTGAGATGTTAGAAGCGATGATAAAGCGAGGACGATGAACGAACTGGATAGAGAGAAAGCGAACGAAACTGAAACTCCTCGAAGAAGAATAGAGAGTGCGAGTAGAAGTTATTGCAGAGTGGGATACGAATACCGACATTCACGTAGAAATCGGAAGAGAGGTGGCGAGTGGCGAGCTTGGTGCTCGTTTTTGGTCAACAGATGGCGGATTGAGAGGGGTTTATGAGCTTGTGTGTTCATAACCCCTGAAATTACACTTTTTTTATTGGATTGTGATGAAGAACGTCATTGGAGTTGTTGTTGTTGCTGCTACCGTTTGTATTGTTGCTAGCTAAAACAACAGCGTGAATCCGATTGCAGACGCAACGTTCTCCTGACCTTCTGGTTTCCCTTCTTTCACCAATTTCAGCAACGGATTGACTCTGCCTTCTTCAATTATCAGCTTCCCATACCGATCGTTGTCTCTTGCAAGCGAGACAAGCGACGCCGCCGCGTCGGACCTGTCATCTAGGCTTCCGGTGTACAAAATTGCGATTTTCTCCCAAATTAAACACAAAATAGGTTCATTAGCAGCGATCGGAAAGAGATGAGCTGAGGTCAGAGGTGAGTTTAGGTAGATTCGGTAGTGGTGGAGGCGGATTAGGGTATACAGAGAAAAGGAGAAGGAGAGAGTGAAGGTTGTCGGCTGGTGGCGTGCTTGCCTTGATCGACGTCGACGACCGGGAATGGCAAGTAACGATGGTCGAAGTGCGAGGGAAGAAGTAGGCGGCAGTCAATGTCCAATGTCGGGAGGGGGAAGGAAGGAGCGTCGATAATTAGGGCAAGAGGGAAAGGAAGAAAAAGGAAGGCGGGGTTTTTAATTTTTTAGGATTTCATTTCCCCCCCCCCCCCCCAGCTATTAAAGGATGGAACACGCGTTTCCATTAAAATTTATAAAGCGACATCTTCAGACGACACACATTTTATCGTAGGCGCCCTCCGTGTTTTTTTTTTTTTTTTGTTTAGACACTAATTTAAGGGCACGCAAAAATTCACGTCCTAAATCCTTAAAATTTATAGAGAGATGACATTATTTTTAGGTCACACACTTTTGCGTATCGTAAATCGATGTGTATCATAAATTGCGCGTCGTAAAAGGCTGTTTTTCTAGTAGTGAAATGAAGAATTTTTCATTTAAAAGCACATTAAGTTTCATAAGTTATGAAATTGGAAGAGTCTCTTAATTTTAATGTTTTCATAAAATCATTTTATGTCTTCCATAACTTGTCCTCAAGTTATGGAACTTGAAAAGTCTTTCATAAAAACCATATTAAACTCATAAGTTATGGAAACCAAAAGTTTTTTGAATTGTTCAAAACTTGCCCTCAAGTTTTGGAATTGGTAAAGTTCCCCCCCCCCATGAATACTTTAATTCCAAATTAAACCCTTAGAATTTTAAAAGTTTAAAATTCGACCCTTATACTATTATAATATTATAGGTTTAATATTTATATATATGTATAAGAGTAAGTCAGTCTTACCGTTAGTAGGCCTCATTCACGAAGTCGGTCTATAAAGAGGGGTATAGGTTACTGCCTATAAAATGTCAGTTTAATGGGTGTCCACTCTCACCCACCACTTCCTTGACTGGTGGAAGGTCGTTAGTCGAACGGGTAGGACAGGACATTAATTCTCCCTTCATTAAAAGTATAATGATAAATACTAAGTAACTAAACTCTTATAAATTCCCAATCTTAGTTACTTAGGAAAATGTGAATTTGGTGCTAACCCATGAAATTGCACTTTGCACCTTGTTAAGTCGTTAGTGGAAAGTGTGTGGTTAATCGGCACACTAATCTGGGACTGACAATGTGTGGCAAAGGGTAGCTTGATTTTAATCATAGATCAATGGAGCGTCTGTGGTTAACCGGCACATTGATTAGGTGGTTGTAACATTAAGTGTACCAAGTTAATTTTCATGGTTATTCACTCCTTGTTTGTGATCCTCGGCATCCCAGTCACAAACTTGAAGGGCACAATTGAGATTTAAACATGCCGTTGAATAGTTCAATGAATCTTAAAAGATCTAGGAGTTTCAATCCATTTAAGACCTAAAATTCCTTTTCGGTTTTCATGGTGGAAATTGGTAAATCGTCATTTACCTACCTTCAAATATTTTGTAGCTTGGATTACGGCATCCCTCTTCCAAGTTATAAAATATTGTGTTGGGTCCTAGCCTTAATATTTCATATTGGGTGTTATATTAAGGACTTAAATCAACTAAACTTGAATTTCTCCCTCATAGATGTCTAGTTATGACAACTATGGTCTTCCTTATCCTTTTGGATAAAGCTTTCCTAATGAAGATGATGTCCCAAATGGCGATCAAGGTGAAAGAGTAATCCCTTTGTTGTACATTAATGGGACTGGAAATCATACTTCACTTCCTCCACCTCCTCCAATTATTCTCCCTAACCCACAAGTTCTTGAAAAGTGCAAGGTCACTCAATCCCTATTGGCAAGCAGTGTCTATATGTACTCTCATCTTGGAGATGAAGTCTCATATTGACAAGCTGGGAGAGTTGGGTGTCGAAGTCTCAAGGAAGTTGACTGTTGACTGGGTTCTTCAATCACTCTCCGAGTCATATAGTGAGTTCATTAAGGACTACTATGTGACAGACCACGATCTGACCCTTATCGATCTTACCAATTTGCTTGTTGTTGCTGAATCAGCAATGATTTGGAGCACTGGTAAAGCAAATGTGATTGGAAGATCTACTTCCCAAACTTACATGGACATTGAAAATGGAAACATTGGAAGTCCAGAAAAGCTTTCTCTTCCCCCAATGGAAATTGATCGGCCATAGTCAACCCGGTTGATCAAATGGTAAAGAGAAAGGCTAAGTCTGAGATAGTCTCATGCACCATTACTAAAGAGTCCATATGTTTCTATTGCCAAAAGAAAGGGCATTAGTTGCGAAGCTGCCCTGTTTACCTGGAAGTTCACTAGGATGGTAAAAGTCAATAAATTTAACTATGCTTCAGGTAAAAAGTCCATTATATAACTCTATTAAGTTCCTATTTGAAGATTCTTATTACATGATGTGACTGGGTCGCATTTTGATGTTTTGTAGAATCGAAAAAGGATAGGAAGCTTAGAAGAAGAGTATGCTGAATCTGATCGTGAAGATGGATTTCGATCGCATGATTCCAAGATCAGAATTTTCAACTATTGCTTAAGAGTTATGATAGATTGCTTAAGAATAGATAACAACATAGTTTTCATATGTTTTTGCATTGTAAGGATAAGTTTTTTTTCTCAATTTTAAAATAAAAGGAAAATTTTTTATTTATTTTAAGTATCCTTACAATGGCATTTGTGAAAATTGTTGTTTACATGATTCCATTGATAGCAATATTGGAAAATGGATTTGATTCTTTCGTTTGTGGTAGTGTCATAATTTACCAAATAAGGAAAGATTCTCATCACCCAAGTTTCAGTTGGATAGAAACTTGGAATCATGCAACTTGTATTGTATGATGAATGAGAATTTTCATCTTTGGGAAATTAAGACTAATTTCTTGTTCACATGTATATGTGAGTCAAGTGAAGGACTGGGAGATCAGGTACACTTGGTTGTGCGCTGATCAGGTCCACCACAAAGAACGATAAGGCTATTCGTCATGATTTACTAAAGTTTTTGAACTCACCTAGGACAAAGGTGGTTATGCTTACAAGTTTAAGTGTAATTCCGAAACATTGGAAAAGTGTCAATGTATGGCAGGACGAATGAGAAGAATCAAATTAGGCAGAAAGATAAAAGTTTCTCCAATCTGAAAAGATGGGAGAGTACTTCAGTATCATGTTTTATGATCATCCTAATGATTATGAAAACCATATCACAATTTATCCTCTAAGGACATCTTGGTGCATTTGTTTGGCTAAGAAGAGGAATCGTGAATTGTTGAAATGGTTAAATCAAAAGATGAATCATACTTCGTTCCAAAATTGAGTCTTAGAGTAACACTCCAAGATCGAGCCTTGAGTGACATAATGTTAAGAAGGTTTAAAACACTTATCAAATGTAGAGTAAAATGTTTTCTACTCTTGTACATTTGAAATTGGTGAGTTGTGATGTTTTGGATAAAACAAAGACCAACTAAGACCAATAGTGTGAAGTGTTTTCTTGATAAGAATCCGCACTAACTCTTGAATATTTGCTTTGTCGAGGAATGGTTCTTGATAAGGGAATCTGTAGTTTGTCTAGGTGGCCTAAACATAGCTGCAGTCGATCATGCTTTGGAAGTAGGTATTGAGGCAAGACTGTCATGAATGGGTCTGTAGTTTGTCTAGGTGGCCTAAACATAGCTGCAGTATTCATTAGTGCTCCTAGAATAAGATTCGAGTATTGTATTAAACCCACGCTCATTTGAATCACTTCATGGATTTTATCACGAGTGATCATGAGACGATAATATCTTATATTCTTCAAACCTAGAGATATGAGTTGTTGACTATGAGTTGGTTGTACATTGATTGTACGAAAATGCATCAGTAACTTGATGTTATAAAACGTGCCTTTGTATATGATTCAACAAGTAGTTAGTACAAGCATATGAGTCGAAGTTTATCCATTCCTTTTACCCTTGGAGGGATAAAAGTGATATCTATGGGCCCCTTGATGATTTGGTGATGACAACCTTAAGTGCTCGGCCGGGCCTGGACTGATTTGATTTGTTCAATTAGTCGGACGTCATAAATCGGAAATCGAGAAACAACAGATGGACAGAGAGAATGATTATAATCCATGTCTCAGTCCATATGGTATCTAGAATGGAGGAATATATGATCCCTTATCTAATGGACATG